ATGAAGGAAGTAATTATGAAGTTGATATTTTAAGAATTTAGTATGGAAGATTATAATGGGGATATGAATATTATTTTCTAAGCATTATAGTAGTAAATAGGAGGGAAAAATAAAATTGTCAATTAGTCTCCTTTTTTGTTTTAGGGAAAAATACTTAGAAATATATGTCAAGGCTTGGCACCTGTGGCTCAAGCGGCTAAGGTGCCAGCCACATACACCTGAGCTGGCGGGTTCGAATCCAGCCTGGGCCCGCCAAACAATGATAGCTGCAACCAAAAAATAGCCAGGCATTGTGGTAGGCGCCTGTGGTCCCAGCTACATGGGAGGCGGAGCCAGGAGAATCGCTTAAGCCCAGGAGTTGGAGGTTGCTGTGAGCTGTGATGCCACAGCACTCTACCCAGGGGGACAGCTTGAGGCTCTGTCTCAAAAAAATAAAAAAAGACTGCTAATTTTGCCAAGTCACTGAAGTAAATATATCCTGTAATTCCATACCTGCATTGTCACAGCGCTTCTATCCTTAGCATTATTGCTGGAAAAGTAAGGAGCAGGGCTAGTGCCTGTGGCTTAGTAGGGTGCTGTCCCCATATACCAAGTGTGGCGGGTTTGTTGGGCATTGTGGCAGGTGCCTGTAGCTGGGCATTGTGGCAGGTACCTGTAGTCCCACTTACTTGGGAGGCTGAGGCAAGAGAATCACCTAAGCTCAAGAGCTGGAGATTGCTGTGAGCTGTGACACTACTGCACTCTACCGAGGGCGACAAAGTAAAACTCTGTAATTAAAAAAGAGAAAAGAAAAGGGGCAGAGGAAGAGATCAAAGCTTGTTCTGATACCCTCATTAAGGCAACAATCTAGGAAGACTGCCAGGTCTTAACTGTTATCTAAAAGGTTGGGCCTGCCTAGGTAGTAGGGGAGAGGAAAAAAATCCACGGTGGGGCCCAAAGTTATGGCCTCTGTACAGAGGCAGTGTCAGAGCTAGGAAGTAATGAATCCAGACAAGTTACTCAAAAAGACTTGTCAGTCCTTTGCATATAGATTGTACTCATCTTAAAAGACAAGAATTTAAGTGTAATACCATCCTCAGGAGTAAGCAAGCTAAGGTAGACTCGCAAATCCACAGCCTTTTTTATGCTTTCTTGCTATTTTTCCCCACTCATTTCTAGTTTGTTATGTCTAAGCACTTCAGAACCATCGTCTAGAAAGTTTTTCTAAGCTCATATCAACTGTACTAAAGAAGAATAAAGTTTTGTTGTTTTTTTTTTCTTTTTTGAGACAGTCTCACTATGTCACCCCCAGTAGAATGCTGTGTCACCACAGCTCATAGCAACCTTAAACTCCTGGGCTCAAGCAATTCTCTGATCTCAGCCTCCCAATTAGCTGGGACTACAGATGCCCACCACAACACCCTTCTATTTTTTTTGTTTTGAGCTATGGGTACCAAGCCTC